ACTCGGCCTATAGGGCTGACAGATGCGTGTATGAATAATAATAATAATAATAAGATCATTCAGCATCTGGCCCAGACCGAGTTTAGCGGTCAAGTGGGCACCAGATACATCGTTTGGAACTCGTTGACTCCATCCAATTACACGTGCCTTCTTCTCCTCTATTGAAAGTACCTGGGAGCATGCTGAAGTCTTATTACTGTTCTGCAGGAAGTCCAAGAACAATCTCGTATTGACTGGCTGACGACGAGCATGGTAGCCCCAATTGAGTGACGAGTAGCTATAAAGCTGGTAGGTTCGCAAGCGCATGTCCAGATCGTTGTCACTAGCACATATTCCTGATTTAAAGGTGTCGTAGCCAAGATATGTGAGGCATGCCGTTGCAATATCATGATGAGCATTTGGAAAACCACGTTTGCCATGTCCTTTCGAAATATTCTTGTGTCGTATGGTGGACTAATCGGATCACATGGGTCTGTTCATCAATCGTCACCAGACCAGCGCATACAGAGACCATATCTTCAATGTCAGGCATGTTGTCTGAGTCGAACGAAGTTTCTCCTATCTCTACGGTGAGTGCATGCTGAAGCTCTACTGCACTAAGCGGTCTCTGGGAACATGTGATCTATGAAAGTACTTGCAATGCCAGCTCTCTCTGGTCGGGCACCAGACCCTGAATTCGCTGCATTGCTTCTTGATAGGCAATATCAATTTCTTCCGATCCTGATTGGAGCTGTTGGAGTGCAGCCTTTACAGCTCTTGGCGACCGCTTTCCGATTAACGACCCGAGGTGAAGATGGGCAAGGAGGAACCTAGATATCGAGGTTAAATCTATCATTCAATATTTCGTTCCTGGTAGCAGAGCACGTACATTCCATCCACTGCTTTGGCGATCCCGTCAATTATCTTCCTCTGCAGATCATGGTTTCGGAATACGAAAGAAGGTAGTTCATGTAGACGACCCTGAAGATATCTATGCACGTCTTCCCCGTTGGCCCGAATATCTTGTTTCAGGCTGCCCCCAAAGGCTGATGCAAGTCTGGGGCTATACCTTGAAGTTGCAAATAATGAGACAACGTCTCATTATACTTTCTGTCTCAGATAAGCTCGAGACTAGATGAGAAAATGCGCCTTTGCGGCTAGTGCCTTGGGATGTATATCAGGGTTTAAAGTCAAACACTTATTCATTGAAGAAATAGAACTCTGTATTTGGTACTAGGTATCTGCAATCCACATCTAACATTGTCCATGATAGGCTTTCCAAGCGACTATTGCAAGTGCATCAATTTCCGAAAGCCTATATTGGTAACTGTCGCAGTACGACCGGACACTTCAATCCCTTCTCCTTTCATCCCTCCATCCAGCGATCCCGTCGCCAATTGCGCCAGAGACCACCCCAAAGGCTTTGTTGGGCTATGCATTGTCTTGAGTGAACTTCGTATAATCGGACCGAAAATACTTTCTGCCAACCCCTTCAGACCGGTTGCTGGCGGAATCCACTGTCGCAGTGCATCATGATCTTTAGAATCGACCATAGCGGGACGAACTATGACTGGTCGGAAATGGGGGATCTTTTTCTCAAGTTCCATAAGGGCAATCTCTGTTTCGCCCTTAACACGACCGAAGAGAGGTGTAAAGAAACCCGGCTCCCTTGTCGCACCTTCGCCCGACACGAAGACGAAATTGAAATCTCCAGAATCCGGTTTGATCTTCCCGAAAGCCTGAGCTGCTTCGAGTGTCATTGACTTTGTGATACGGATGTACTCTCTAAAGTCTTGGTCAGTCAGCTATTTCAGAAATATACCTCGCACAGTGCACAGGATGCTCACTCCTTAGCCACGGCATTTTGGCTAATCCCGAGTGCCCACACGCAGCCGTTTGCACCTCGGAGACGCTCAAGCAGTGCTGTGTCGTATTTTTCGAAATTATCATGGATTATAACCTCAACGCGCTCGTCCTTCATAGCATCAACCATGGGTACTGGCCGACGGCTCAGGATAGAGATCTTGGCGATGTCTTTCATGCCCATCAACGCGAGCAGAGTCGTAGAGCCAACGAGGCCTGTTGCGCCGGTTAAGATAACATGCATTTTGGTGTTGGTTTTTGGCAAACTAAGAAGTTCTGGGAAATTTTCAGAATATTTAAGGGATGTACATCGAAGGTGCGGCCGCAGGACCACGCCGCGAGTACGATAAGGACCCACTTGCGGCCGCACTCGCATCCGCACCCGCTCCTTTCGTCTTTCTATAATCTCTCGCCTCATAAATTAGGCCGCTGACTAGACATGCCCACAGCCCGCTAGCCAAGCAGCTGCAAGTAGCGGCCGCGCTCCAAGCGTTTTACCCGGTCACAATGGAAAGTGGCAATACCAACGCCGGCGAGGCTGCCCATGCTTGTGCTTCGTGCAAGAAGAATAAGCGCCGCTGTGATAAGAATCTCCCAAGTTGCGGCTCATGTATAAAGTCTTTTCATTCTCAAATACCCACTTTTTCCGTCAACCTGAGACTAACCGTTGGCTAGGACTGGTCGATTCTGTGATTACTCTGATTATGCGCCCTCCGATCATACAGACGAGATCAATGAACTCCGACGCAGAATTGAAGAATTAGAGCAATGCGTTCTGCCTGTATCAACACAGACACTTTACACTCCCCCGGGGACTCAAGAACCGAGTCACACTCCTTGCACGGAAGCTTCACCCTCACCGGAGCTGTCCATTCAGGCATATTATCTTGATTCTGATCTGTGGTCCTCCTGCAAGTTTCCCGATAATGCTAAACGTAGTATTTTTGCACCCGAAGGGATATCCGCAGTCTTGGGAAACCAGTTCGAAATAGACGCCATGAAGACACGTTATTTCGAGTCTGTTCATATCTGGATGCCTATTGTCAGTAAAATCAGACTGAATCGGCTCGTCCAACGAGCGGGAGGGCATGTGAAGGCAGATATCGCCCTGTTATTGCTGTGCATGAAGTTAGTTCAAGCGGTCCCACATGAGCAACAGACAGAACCATCGGAGCTCTATATCATGGCGAAGCAATTTAACAGTGAGCTGGAACTGAAGGGGCTTCTTACCCTGCGCATGGTTCAGGCTGGCCTTTTGCTTTCGGTCTATGAACTTGGCCATGGAATCTTCCCTGCGGCTTTCACAACGATCAGCCACTGCGCAAGACAAGGTGTTTCTCTTGGCATACACAATAAGTCAGCAACCCAGTTCCTTGGCGAATCTCGAAGCTGGGTGGAGTGGGAAGAGAGACAACGCGTTTGGTGGATGGTGATGATCCTTGACAGGTTGGGAAGCCAATCCAAACAACAATAACATACAAATAACGTGTTCTAGATATATCATTGTTGGAGCTGGTCATCGACCGCTATGTACTGAAGACCCTAGCAAAGACACAATCCTCCCGGCAGACGACGGTGCTTGGGACAGCGGCGTGAGCTTTTAGTTTATGTCCTGTGGAATTTATTTATCTGAACTAACATTAATACTTCAGGAAATCGTGCCCCCTGAACGTGTTTGCCTCTCGTCAGTTACTAGCTCAGTTAGTCCCTTCGCACGACTGGCGCAGGCATCAAACCTACTAGGCCGCGTAATCAGACACTGCAACGACACGGCCTTGGAGCTCGAATTCGTCCTGGATAATTATGAAATGCTCTGCCAGACAATATTCTCTCTTGTGGAACTTCTTTCCCAAGACGATTCGACAGCATCGATTGAGACGAGTATTGCGGCCACTATATGCTTCAGGTATGCGAAACTTCCTAGTTATATTGCCCATTATTAACAGCTGGCAGCGCTCTCTTGAAATTATCTGACCACCACTCATGTGATCTGTTCAACGAAGGGAATCAATATTCCGAACACAATGCGGCCTCTCGTATCCGCGAGTGTATGCAACGAAGTCTCCAGATGTCCAGAGAGATTTGTGGGCGAGTCGTATCATTCGCCCAAGGTCTCGGGCAAAGACTTACACAGCCCGCAATGCAAAGGATCTCGCCACTAATGCTTCATTGCATTTATAATTGTGCGGCAAATCTGTCCTGGATGTCGCTTGAGACAGATAATGCACAATATGTTGCAGGGAAGCTCGTCTGTGAAGATATACTGGGATCCATCAGTGGTCGGTGGAAGACAGCTGGTGTCTACTTGGAATTGCTCCGGATTGGCGATATGGCCCAAGATGAGAGCTGTTGAATGGTAATGGTATGTGGTTTACAATGTCCAATAAAATAATATGTTAGCTCTGCTTCTCAGAAATGGGAATATGATTGGCAATCTATGGTCGATCTAAAATTGACCGACAGCAGTTCGTATCTTCAGATCAGGAGCTGGTGTGGGCCACAAAGGGTTTGTTGGGCTGCTAATTTTGATGGTGATCATCCACTACTACATGTAGCTCGAAGGTACACTCTAGTTAACCACCAAAGGCATACGTCGCCGCCCCGAAGACTGTTTGTGCAATTGGAATGAACAGGAGGCAATTGCAATACGAGAATAGTTCGTGAAAAGTCTTCATATACAGGCTCTGGAAGCTAGGCATATCTGAGGATGGCTGCCGCACCGTATTTTAACGCCAGGAAAATTCGCTGGGCTCGTGAAAAGATGTAAATCGGTAAATGCCAATGCTAAATCTCGGCATTATTGAATTCTATTTTGCAAGATCTGCAAATCCGAATAGAACTTCTAGTGCGGATCATCATGAATTTTATTTCATTGAGATACAGTCCGGGGTAAATTTCTAGAATCTTCACTAAAGTTGGCAGGGAAAGTTTTGCTAAAAATTTCGCCATATGCATTGGAACATAAAAATTGCCTGGAAATTTCAATTGAGGTACATATTGAACGACTTCTCAGCTCGGCCCGGCTCGGATAAGGTACAGTGGAGCCGGGTCCGTATGGGTGCAAATAAAGTGGGCTACAAGGAATTGTTGGGCCCTGTAATTCAATGATCACTACTTGCGGCGTCGCCCGCCAACTACTTATCCGTGCTTGGCGGGCGACACTCACCATACAGCATTTTCTCTGACTAGAGTGAATCTTTCGCCAACATTTGTCTCTGCAATAGTCCACCGACGCGGCAAAGAGCGAGGTATCTGTTCCCCCTATACTTGACCTGATGAAGATGACACATGAAGGCCAGTTTGAAGGAGCTCTAAGTAATGAACGGCCTGGTAAAGTTTGCAATTCTCCAATGAAAGCTCTTTTATATGCATGCAAATAAAAATACCGCTGTGAACCTGCTGCAAAACCTGCGGAAGTTGTACGGCCTGAAAAATCCGGAACCAACCCAAACCGATTTTGATCCAAAACCTATGGCTGTCATCGGCTCAATGACCCTGGATGCAGAAAAGATGAGAATTTATTGGGCAAGTACAACCGTGATGGTAGGCACCGTCTTCTAAAGATATAACGCCGAACGGGGCACTCTCCTACAATGAAGAGCGGTTCCGCAGAGACGTGTTGGGCACACTGTCCAATGGCTGTTCCTGGCAAGAAACCCATGGAGGCGAACCCGCTTCGAGAGTTGTCGGGCCCGTTACGAATGCTATGTTCACCGCTGGGGACGCAAACGCACAAACTATAATAATAACACCTTATTTGATGGGTGAGCATCTTCGGTACCCCGACCAAGTTTCGTTTATCGAGGAGAGATTGGGAGGCCTGCTCCTGAGGCTGGAAAGAGTGGGGTAGAATGCGGGTAAACGATACTACTGAAACAGGCCCATATCCTCCAGACTCACATCGATTCGTCTGCGCGGTATGTGCGATCCTGAACTTGTATTTCCGTGCTTCACCGTTGAGGCCAAGCTTCTTCAATCGAGCATTTATAAGGTAAATGGACATACTGGAGCTATAATGCTTCAGACTTTTTGGGGTTTATGTAGCTTGGCAAATTCAATCAACCGAAGGTTATCTCGACGAATTATCAGATACAACGAAGACCACAGATCATTGGGCGCAGTGCAAATAGCCAGGTGCAATGCACCTCTGAAGAAATGAGGACTTTATGAGTCCATATAGTGGACAGAGATCGACGCTTACATTCGGCTTCGCAGCTTGACGTTCTGCAGCACCCGGTAGCTGCCTTTATTTACTCGACAAATTGAAGAGGAAAACTCAATATACTTGTCACAGGAAATTATTTGCATGCGTGTCTAGGGGATAGCGATGTGCCTTGCTACTACTTCACGACTGGCTTTTTTCCATGAGTGTTGGGTCATTTCGGGAGTTGTGAGATGATCAGGCCCATGGAAATGCTCTCTGGGATACCCGAGTGCTTAATTGCTTGATGTTCTCTGTTAGACTATTCGAATTGATATACTGCCCATGGTATTCGTATGCTCATCAGGATAATGGTAAATTATTCATATAAACTTACTCCTCTCGAATTAATCCATTCCCCATCACGGTCTCTCACATAATCCAACGCTCCATGACAAAGCGCAACCTGGCCCCCGCTCGCAAACCGAGAACCAACGACAATCCGCATCGGTAAACGCAGCACATACCCATTCACTAGTTTTGAATTCGACGAAGCCTGAAACTTCCCGTCCTCATGAAGCTTCCCCAGTGAAAATGAAACAGTAGAACATATCATCCGTAATAATAGATGGATACGGGCTTCTAACCCGTGGAATAGATCAACAGGGCCTTCGAAGCAATGCGCATGGTCGAATGCTATTTCCTTTTCAGTGAGAAGATCGCAGAAGTCGATGAGCTGGGTGTAAAAGATTATCTGAGTGGAGAGGATAGTAGCCAGGAAACAGGTTGTCCATTGGTCTCGTTTGACACCGGTTGTGTCGTTAGTGAGGACGTCGTGGTATTGGACTTTCCAATGGTTCGGGACGGCTTCGTGCCAGATGTCGATTTCGTCGATGAGACAGTGTGCTTGGATAAGGAGTCTGTGGATTATACCACATGTTATGGTATAGGTGGGAGCGGTAGAAGGGAGTGGGGAGGGTAATGAAGACGGGGAAGGATAGGGAGTTTCCGGATTTGATAGTGTGGCTCGCATTTCGCTGATGGAGTGGCACTGCTGAGCGACCATGTCCATGATTATGCCTGCTCGGTATATGTTGTCTGGCTTGTACATCTTGCGGATGCACTCGGGTAATGTGGCATAACGGAATTCGTTATTGGCGATTGCTTGTGTTTGCTGCCATCGAGTTAGCAACGTGGGCATATTAAATATGAGACGAGACACATACAACTTGTGTAATGGCCCAGCCGAATAATTCTCGGCCATACTTGGTATTTAATTGGGACTTGTCCCGTAGTTGCAGTAGAGAGTGAGTACCGGGGATATGAGGATTCAACCCGTCACTTGTCTCGCCACTTAGGTCCTGCGTGTGTTAGCCAGATTTTACAATGAATATGCTTCCAGAATCATAACATACCGCGAAGACATTTAGGAATAAAGACGCAGCAAAGACCTCGTCCGTTACAGCTGTCTCGTTCGACTTGAGAGCATTGTAGAGCGATTTTATAGCAGAACCATAATGCCTCCGGGAATTCACATACAGCTGTCCGATACGAGAGACATTGAATAGTGATAACGACGCAACACTGAGAACGGCATGCTTCAAACAAGAATCATCCCCCTTTTCCTTGTACAACTCAGGAAAGAAAGCCAGAAACCCCCGACAAGGAGACTTATGCACCTTGAGCACATGATGATGAGTAAAATAACAAATTGCCTGCCACTCCAGACTGAGTGCAGGACCAGTTCGTGGTTTGGGTGACGAGATCGTCGGCGAGGGTGGCGGTTCAGACAATGCCCGCTGCGGCTGGGCATCTGTTGGAGCCGCATCCAGGTCGGGCTGTTCCTTCTCCTGGCCCACAGTTGTCATTTTAGATTGACGACGGTCTCTTACTGCCGCTCGCGTCATTCGGTATTCCCGAAAGGTGAGAGGATCCGGATACCCCGGGCACTGCATTCCCCGAGAGATGCAGTGCTGGCATTCTGGTTTGGCGCCATCACACTATCATTATTATTGTTATTCTTCAAAAGCGAATTATCGTTTTATTGGCGAGATACAGTGTACACACCTTGATCTTACGCTTACGGCAGACATGACAGCCCGTACTCCTTTTTCCCGGGAAGACCATGGCGCGGGATAACGAGCGGCGATATCGAAGACTAGCAAATTAGATGGTCGTGCAGTTGACTTAGAATAGCGTCAATTGATTTGATAGCATTGAATCCTCATCTCTTGTTGTGGAGTTGTAGGATCTAAAAGGAGGGGAGGAAAAAAAAAAAAAAAGGGACGATCCCCATCAGGTGACTTCCGCGACCTCGGCAAAGACGAAACAAAGTATGTATACGTATTTTGAGTAAATCATTTCAATTATTATTATGTTTTATTCTTTGATTTTAAATCCTTCTAATCAAGCCAGTACATAATGCATAATGAATGGTGAAGAGATTTATACTAGAACGGGGACAACCCCCCCGAAGTGGCGAGAACGGCATCTATCCAAATCCCATTTCGAAATAATGCATAATAAACAGACCGGTACGGCAGATGTAGTTTCAGTTAAATAATCCACTGGTATCTGGAGTTATACCGGCAAACTCTGCCGGCACAATGAGTCGACAATGCATTCTCTCCCAGAGAGCGTGGTCTATAAATGGAGCATTCACAATTTCCCTTTTCGGTACATGCTTGCGCAGACCCACTTACACGTGGATCATTAAGTCCGAATTGACCCACTATTTATTGTTAGTCTCGGGGATAAAAACCTACCAGCCCTATCTGACGACGCAGCAATTTGACAGCTGCATCATACTGCATTAACCAGAGTGAAAAATTGAAGGCATTCTCGTAGCATGTAGTATTTATCTTCATCGTAATTTTCTCAGGAACTCTTCAGGATACTCTTGGGTTGACCTCATTCGAGTCTCGTCAACCATGAATCTGTTGTACCTTCTGGGGCTCCCAGCCCTATCAATGGCGGTTTCGCCCAACAACAATACCAACCACATATTCAATGCAATTCATTCATCGATGCGCCAATGGGGCTCCTCCCTCAATCATAATGGCATGTCCTTCTTCCTCGCCTCCGTCCCTGAAGGAACAACCCTCTATCACGGATCTTCTCGCCCAAATACTCTCGTCGATATCGGATGGATGGCATTCGATCCCGAGCATGCCTTAGTATTTGCCCGACCACCGCACCACCCGAAACATCCTCCCCACGATGAGCGAGCTCAACAGAAAGTTGTGGTGTCGAAGCACGGGGATTCAATGGAAGACCACGCAGGTTGGCTTCATACGTACCAAACTATCAAGGAACTGAGACTTGTGTATGTCGATGGGATGTCGGCTGGAAAGTCACATATTGGAACGCTGGATTCCCAGGATCGCATCCTTTTCAACGATACCATCCCGTATGGCGGCGTTAGCCAGGAAACCGAGCGTTCAAAGGCAGTCTGTCGGATCTCAGCTGAGGAATGGGACAATCGGATTGATGGTGTCATCCGCATGGCTGGTGGATTCGAGATCATACTCTGTGCACCAGAGGAGAACTTGGTCGCGGAACGAGTGACAAAGTCCCGAATTCACAAGCCGAAGCACCATGAAAATCACAAGCCAAAGCAAGGCAAGCCGGACGAGCTTCTACGTGTTGTGACTTCAAGATACAACGGAATTGGAGGAGATCGCGTGAAGGTCAACTATGACCACTTTGTCTCTGTATACGATAGTGATCTCAATGTCTTTCCAGCAAACAGCACACACAGCACACGCCCTCGACTGGCACATCTGTCCAAAGCATCGATCCAGAAGATCAGACGGCGGCTTACAGACCTGGTTATGGATTACGATGTACACGGAAAGGTCAACTGGCGGGCTGTTGCCGATATGACCGTCCAGCAATACGGACGCCGTCTACCAGATCTAGTCTCCTCTCCTCGTTTCAGAACCATGGAGTCGCTGAAAGCAGAGATTGCACAAATATGGGAGTCGTTTATCGACTTGGATTATTCCAGTCCGGAAGTTGAAATCCAACGCTGCACAAACCGATTCATTCCACATGCTGCTCCTAAAACCTCGCTAGCCCATAACGTGACCCATACCATCAACGAGCAGATCTGCTCTACGCTCGCAACGGTTCTGTATGACGATCATAATTATGTAGTTGCAGTTGGTCGTCTTCAAGAGCTGATGGATTATCTTTCTTGGACTGTATGGAAGGAATGTCGCGATTGCCGGGATGATGAGTTTTGTGCTATTCCGATTTGGCCTCAAGGGTCGTTGGAGGATTATGAGGATCCGAGATGTCAGCGGTATGATTCTGCGTATGCTGGGGAAAGTGATTACTGGGGACCTATCTTTCATTGAATGTAGCTAAAGGTTGAAGGTGGCAGTTAGCTTAGTGTGGTAAGAAGAAAATTCATGTCTAAAATGAGAATTCATTGTACAATTTCTAGTCTAATAAATACACTCAGTAAACACACATTTATAAGCAACTTTATATCCTTTAACCAAAAAAACGACTCAAGAAACCACTGTAACATTATCAGACAGCGGACCACAATTCATCGGCAACGTAATCCACCCCCCGACACCCGGTCCAGTCTCACTATGGTTGAACGTCGGGTTCAACGCAAAGATATGCCCGGGTGTCGTATTATACTTGATCGCAAGATCCTTGTACGTCCCCCAAGTATAGTAAAACGGCTCAAACTCGCATCGACTCGGATGACACTGCGGCACCTTGATCGATATTCCACTTTCAATCTCATCATCGATATCAGCAGAGGAACCGTACGTCATGTGTCCGGCAGTGCTGTTCAGCGCTTCGATGGTGATGTTAAACTTGGCCAGGGCAATTTTCCTGATCGTATCGCCCTCGAAAGTCGTGTAGGTATGCGGTCCGCCGTTGACGCAGGTGTTGGTTGCGTTTTGGTTGGTGAGGAGGCATGAGTGCGAAGGGTCGGAATGGGCGCAGCGCTGCGGGGGGATGTAGAGTTCCTCGCCGGCGTAGAGCATTTGCGGATCGGCAACGTGGTTGTAACGGGATATGTCACAGACGGTGGTATTATAGGTGTCTGCGATGGAGAAGATGGTGTCGTTGGATTTTATGGTGTAGGTGCTGATTGCATCGACGTGCTGGCAAGAGGGATCGGAAGCAGCCATGCTGCCAATTAGAAAGAAGGACAGTGTGAGGAGAGTGTTCTTCATCATGATGGTCTAGTTATATCGTAGGGTAAGGATGAAGATGAATGAATGACTGATGATTTGCTGATTTACTGCAATGGGCGCTATTTTTATATACTTACCTGCACAGATAAAATTGGATGAATGGCTGACGATTTCAAACCACGCGTCGCTGTGATCGTCAGGAGACTCGTCACATCTTGCTTTCACGCTCTGCCACAGATGCGAAACTGTTTTCCGTCACTGATTATGCCGGAGATATTTGGCTAGATTCAGCATTCGGGATGGGCTTCCATTTTGGGAAGAATGTGGAAGATCGCAGACGGATATGCCTCAACTGGTTTTGCAGAACAATCCCCGGAGATTAGCCGTATCTACAAACCTAGGTCTGTCTGGGCTCACCAGAGATTCCTCAATTTCTGACCAACGTGGGAGGCCATTTGCCATTCGGAGTACGGCAACTTGCCGCACTGTAGAGGCTGGTTTCATCGTTTTACTTGTCAATCACAAATTTCTTCAAGTTACTGACCATGCCACTAGCAAGTTAATAGCCTTATAGTTATAAAGTTTAAAGTATATCTTTGAACAAACTGTTTACGGTATGTTCAACCTCCTACTCATGATTCTAGCCAGGCTTCTCAGTGGTAAGTGTAAGTAAATTGTTGTCATGAGAGCTGAAGAGATCCTTGCAAAGTAGACGAGTTGAAATATTTTGAGCCCTCGCGAGTCTGTACGTACTCCGTCGCTGCAATTTGTTGTCGAGCTGCGCACAGCTGGGGTTCTGGTCGCTGCTAGGGACAGCAAAGTAGCGGAATTAGATTTGGACGTTATTTCCGACCATTGATGCCGTTCCTTTTTCCCCCTTGCTCTCATTAAGCATAATGTTTCATTTTCACTTTCTCGAACAATCGAATCTTCTAAAGCACGTGCAAGATAATGGCCTGGAAATAGAATGTCGATTACCGCTTTGAGACCTGGTTTGCGAATGACCCATCGACATAGACCCACTTAGCGCCGGGTAAAATAAGCTTAATCCGAACTGAAGACTAAGTCCGAATTGGGTTCGCAAACCAGTCCCAAATATGTATCCAGCTCGTGGGGGACGGTTATTGAACCATGGGTGTGACAAGTTAGCGAAGTATGAAAACTTTGATAATTGATATCGACAATTAGAGCGAGACTGCATATCATGTCCCGATCTTCTTGTAATGCTCGTACGGAGTACATTCGGAAGCGGGTCATGCACCTGGCGTCAGTTAATTGTTGGAGATGTCACAGAAGAACTGTATATCCAGATCTAATACCTATCTTTAACAACCACCATTGAAGCAAGCACAAACAAAATGGGCTTCTTCAACTACTTCACATCCATATCGCTCCTCCTCTACCAAGTAGCAGCCAAAAGCGCACCAACTGCTGAAACCCCCAACGGAACCTACAGCGGCCTCTACTCCCAATCCTTCAACCAAGACCTCTTCCTGGGAATTCCATACCTCCAGGCGCCCGTCGGCAACAGACGCTTTCACCCAGCAGACAGCCTCACTGATACCTGGAATGGAACCGTCGCGGCAACATCATACGCACCGTCATGCGTCGGTTATGATACCTCCGTCGACGCAAGTGAGATGTCTGAAGACTGTCTTTATCTCAACGTGATCCGATCGCATGCTGTCTCCGTCTCTGCGAAGTTGCCTATTGTTGTCTTCCTGCATGGTGGTGGCTTTTCTGGTGGCAGTGCTAGTGAAAGTCGTTACAACTTGTCTTACATCGTCGACCGCTCGACAGAGCTAAGTCAGCCAATTCTCGCCGTTAGCTTTAACTACCGTCTCAGTGCTTGGGGCTTCATATACAGCAATGAGGTCAGAGACACCGGCGCTACCAACATCGGTTTGCGAGACCAGCGCTTCGCACTGGCTTTGATTCAGGAGAAAGTTGCCGGGTTTGGAGGTGACCCGGCCAAGGTCACGCTCTGGGGACAGGACTCCGGTGCATTTAGTATTGGGTTCCAGATTACGGCGTACGAAGGCCGCAATGATAGTCTTCTGCGCGCTGCCATCATGGAAAGCGGGAACCCGACGCCCATGCAGGGATTGAACGGGACGCAGTACTACCATCCCATGTACGACGCCATTGCGCAGCGGGTTTCTCCTTCTGCTGCGTATGCAGCTGAGAATGGGATGTCGGGTAGCAATACCTGCTTTGATGCGACGGACCGGATGAATTGTCTTCGGAGTGCTAGCTTCTCTGATATAAATGAAGCGATCAACTCGACGAGTCTGCGAGGATGGTTTCCAGTTATTGATGGAAACATCGTGACTCACCAGGCTAGTCGGTCTTTGTTTACGAAGAAGTATCTCAGTGTTCCTATAATTCTGGGTGCGAACACGGATGAGGGTTCGTTTTATATGCCGAATAGCAATATTACGACTGATGCTGAGTTTGTGGATTTGATTGCAAGTATGTTTAGCCTTCACCTCTTCCTCCTGTTGAGCGCATGCTAACAATTTTAACCCCCAATTCTACAATGTCGCTCCGGGAATAGCCCTCCCAAAGGTTCTGGTAAACCAGCTGGCGGAAGCCTACTCGAACGTTTCGTCCTCGCCATGTAAGTTCAACCTTTTTGTTTCACTCCATAAAGACAGAAACTGATTATGTACAGATATCAAAGCAAAAACTTACCAAAGCGACGCTACAATCAACGCAAACCACCGACAAGCCTGCCAGGTCTACGCCAAAGCCAGTATCCCCACGTACTGCTACCGCTTCAACGCCCCCATGTCCGGACATTTTACGGCCCAGCACGGAGACGAGCTGCCCCTTGTATTTAACAATGTTCAGGGCGACCTGTCCGACAAGTCTCTGGTTCAATTGGCCACTGACATGAGTAGCAGCTGGGTAAGCTTTATCGCGACATTGGATCCGAATGCGTGGAGGAATGGATCGAATGCTTCGAGTGTCACGTCTACGTAGTAAAAACAAGACAACTTGACTTGAGCAGGAGAGAAAAGGAAGGCTGCTTAATGTTCGGATATCTTGAAGTCCAACGAACCATTTATACTTCTACAATGCAGAAAAGGATGACGAATTCACGAAGAGTAATTGATGCAACCTACCCATCCGCATCCTGTACCTGTCCATCCCGCGTCTACAGAAGCCCCGTCGCAGTTCTTGGAGATTTCAGTACAATCATTTTTCTCAAACACCATCTTCCGCGCATTCCCATAGACATACTGGGGCCAAAACAATGAAGATCCAACTCCCCGCCAAGCTCGCCGTAGCGGCACTCGCAGCCCTAACCACGGCCCACGGCCCCGACGACCACGAAACCTTCCTCGCAAAGCGCGGATAGTTCTCCCGCACAAAACGCTCCCTCGACTCCTGCGCCGGCATCCTCGAAAGCATAGGCGTGGAAGCCCGCGCGCGAGCCCGCTGCGCATCCATTGTCCATGAGCACCAGAAGCGCAACAAGGCTAAGCGCAACAACAAACAAATCCTCAACACCAACCATCAATATAACGGCTCATTCATCTCGCCTGATGACACCGATGCCATTTTCGCGGGGACCAAACACGTTCTCCTGAACCCGTACGGTGGGAACGGCCCGTACTACGTCCGCGGCGAACTCATCCGCGAAGACGTGAGAGAGGACGAACCGAGTATCCCGACTATTGTCGAGGGCCAGTTCATCAACTACGTCACCTGCGAGCCTGTCGCAGGGATGTGGTTGGATCTGTGGAATGTCAATTCCAGGCGTGCACACCGGTGTCATCAACGAAGGAAACGGCAACTTCCTTGACCACAGTAACGTGAACCGTACTGCGCTTCGTGGACTCCAGCAGGCGAATGAGGATGGTGTTGCGCGGTTGACGACTATTCTTCCTGGTCACTACAGTGGGCGGACGAACCATATCCATGTTATCGCGCACTCGAATGTCACTGTGAATCCGAATAATACTATTTCCGGGGGCAGTATCCAGCACATTGGACAGTTCTTCTTCGACGAGGACTCCCTTGACAAGGCTCGCCAGTTCTGGCCGTATACTGAGAATCCGTATGCGATTACCACCAACGCCGAAGGTGATACCCTCCACCAGGAGACTGCGTACTCGAACTCCGACCCCGTGCTTCACTATGAGTATCTTGGTGATAAGCTCGAGGATGGGCTGCTCATGTAGGTAACGATTGGTGCTAATGTCACTGCAAGCTGGGAGGATGAGTATAGTTTTGTGAGGACAGCTCAGGGGGTTAAGTACTCTTGTGGCACGGGTCGCATCACGGGTAACTTCACGCAGGATGGGACTGATTGTGCGAATAACGTTGATGTTAAGAATCTGCCGGGGGAGTCGGCGCCTGGGCTCTCCATATCCTCGAGCAGATGCCGTGAAGCGCCTAACGCCAACGCGAAACCCCGCCAGGAAATAGTGCAGTCATTGCAAGTTCCGCAACAGGCCTCACTCGTCAAGATCGAAAAGATCGCGATGTTAGACGATGTTGAGACAACTTATCCCCAGAGAGACATGGACTGAAACGCGTAACGATCCCATTCCTTACTCGATTTTGCTTTCTCTCTTTTTTATAGTTTCAGTGGCTAACTTGGTATACTCAACGTCACAGGTCTATGGATTATGACCGAATTCCGACTGGACCCTTTACGCTTCTCGTGTCTCTTAGTTGTGGTGGTCAGTGTTTACTTTGGTGTGAGGGCAAGGCAGTGTCATTGTTTAAACATATGTATCGCATAGGCGGATTGTTTGTACGGAGTATTCTGCAATTTTTGGGCGTACTCGGATGACCTGTAGTAGAACTTGTTTGCATGCCTGTAACCAACACACATTTATAGACGGCTTACCAAAATTCCACGTAGAAGCTCAGGTAAAATATAGTTGATGTCACATTCACGTGACCGTAATCGCGGGTGAAGTCAAACCCAACGCGTCCTCGGCGCAGCAGTGCAGGTTTCATCCTCGCTCTCCAGTCCCTTTCGATTCCATTCTTTTCGCAAGCGCATGATACCATTCTTCTACAGTTGAACTATCTTTTTTTCAAACTCCAAAGCGCAGCTTTCGAAACCTCCCTCTCGCTCCTTGCCGTCCTGCGCAAGCGCTCAACACCAACACCAACACTCCTATCACCGCCGTCACCGACAAACCACCGAAATGGCCACCGACTACAGCAAAAAGACCAACGCGGAACTCGTCGAGATCCTCAAATCCCGCAACCTTACCCACACCGGTAAGAAGGCTGAGCTAGTCGCTCGTATCCAGGAGGATGACACCAAGAACAACGGCGGCGAGTCAGCTCCCGCCGCGCCCGCCGCGAAAACCGACGTCGCCGACGACGTGATCGACTGGGAGGACGACGACGTCCCGGCCGAAAGTGCTACGAAACCGTCTACGGAAGCTGGTGCTGCGGCGATCGCGGCCGGTGGTAAGGGCCAGGTGTCCAACCCGGCTGCCGTTCCGAACCAGAAACTCGATACCGATCCTGCTGCGACCGATGACCTTAAGGTTGAGGCTGCTGGTGGGGAGGCTGGGAAGGATGCTGCGCCTGAGCAGGAGACTGAGGGGGCTGCGGCGCCGGCTGGGGAGGAGGGCGCTGCTGATGCTGCTCAGGAAGAGAAGCCTGCGCCGAACTTCGCCAAGGGCCTGCCTATTACGGAGTTGGAGGAGGAGTTGAGGAAGCGCAAGGCTCGTGCTGAGAAGTTCGGAATTACTGAGGACTCTCAGGCTGCTATCGCGCAGGCTGAGCAGAACATTGAGAGAGCTAAGCGTTTTGGAACCGGCGCGGACGCCGATGCTGGTGTTGGTGTCAAGGGGCTGGATGAAGCTCTTCCGCAGGAGAAGACCCGCAAGAGAGGCCGGAACGAGGAACAAGGTGGTCGCGGTGGTAAGCGACGTAACTTTGGGGGCAGGGGGGGCCATCGCCCCCGTCGGGGTGGCCAGGGTGGTCAAGGTGGAAACAGGAACAAGACCAACAACGGCGGCGGCGAGAAACCACAACCGACGCAGATGAGTGAGCAGGATCGTGCGGCCTTGGAGGCAAGGAAGAAGCGATTTACTGCTGCGACATGATCACGGTTGTATTTGATACTTGACACTTGACACCATCTTTGTACTTTTCTATCTTTTTGCTGGCGTTCGGGAGATATGATCGATCTAGGGTCTATTAGATATCAATATCATTGTCATTGGATTCGTTACATATTTAATCTTCTTCCAAAGGCTGTATATATACTCCGTACTCTTGGGTGACGGCGAATTACTAGAAACGGTATAGCGTTCCATTTTCGCTTGGCACCGCCGTGCGTGCTCTATAAAGATGCGATGCCTTCCGTCGCTGCTTCAACTTCGACCCAATTCCTGTTGTTTTCCTTTCACTTTATTCCCGCGCTGCCCACATGATTCGAGTGAGGCATTTTTGCTATTGATCCTCCGTCTGCCCCCCTCATTGCGCCACCTCCTTTTCGTTGTCCAAGGTCATAATCGTCTTGGAGCTGCTGCCAGTGGTGCGATCTCCCGACCAGTATGATCCACTCACTCATGCTCAAGGACCCTACTAACGATGAGTGATGATTGGGATGCCGTGATGCCTTGTGAATTGGATGGTTGTCTGTTGTTCTCGTCGCGACCATCCTTGTAACCTTCATTTCCCGCTGGCCGAGCCTCACTTGATGACGAGTTCACGCAAGTTCATTAGATCGTATTCTGAGAAAAAAGAATATGAAGCTTCAGAGTGGGCCATACAGAAATCCTCGGCGTTGCAGGCATCCTGCCAAAAGTGAGGATATTGCCATGCTCTTGTGTCTACGTACATACTACGCTGATTGCCTTGTGTGAACGAACATCTTCCTGGCTGTCACATCCCATTACACGTTTTGGGTAGCAGTATGGCAGGATCTACCACATTCTACTTGGCTTCATCCACGCTCCTTCCATTAGTGATCTGGAGCGGTTGGTAGGACGACATGCATCACTCTTGTGATCAGCGTTCTAGACTGAGAAAAGTTGGCGGGGATAACAATCTGGCTTAGTGTCCTGGTCTGCATTGGCTGGGAACAGGGAATTGATTGGTACAGAGGGACTGATTAAAGATGCTGATGTCACCAACTTCACTTTCTGATGGGCAACTTTGAATATCTCAGGCAGTCCATGGGATCAACACCTCAACTCCTGGCTTGCGTCAGCCATGGAATCGATGGCGTAGATAGGCCAGTCAAAAATGCTGATGCGCCGCCAACTTGACCTTGTGACTGGCATCACTGATTCGGCTCCTGGCCTGCGTCAGATAGGGAATTGGCTGGTTCAGAGAGACCAGTTGAAGATATTGATGCGCCGCCAACTTCACCTTGACTGGCGTCACCCATTTGCCTCCTGGCCTGCATCAGGCATGGAATCGATTCACGAGGGACCAGTTGAAGATGCGGATGAGCTGCCAAACTTCACCTTGTGACCGGCATCGCCGAATATTGGGAACAATTGTGGAGACAACTATCTAACTTCGCCTTGTTTGTACTGAACATGGGTTTGGTTGGTGCACAGGCCTTGTTGGATGCAGTGGCATTGCCTCATGGCCGAGGCGGCAGCAGGGCCAGGCATGGGGCATGGGAGACACAAGCATCCTTTGTCTAGACCTCGCCAAAACCCAACCCGGAACCCATCTGGGCAACCCAATGAGTGGATTTGCAGCTGCTGGTCTTATTCCATTCGAACCAGAGAGGGTGCTTGCAAAACTCCACATCAAGATGAAGACACCAACACCACCATCTTCTTCAAGCAGCAATCAAATCCTTCTATTTAGGGAGGACACCAGCCAATCCTTATCAGTTGAACCAGCAAAAAAAGCAGATTCAAGACCTTCAAAACCAGTCTCTATCTTCAGTTGTTGCAGAGCAGATGCTTGAGAAGTTTATGAAGAGCACAGAAGTTGCAATGCAGGATGCTGTTCTATTAAAACAAGAACTTCATCAGCTTCAGGCATCAAATAAGCACCAGAAAGAGAAGATGAAGATGACACGGGCCTTTATTCAAGATAGAGGGAGTTTAACTGATGCTGAGGGACTGCAAAGACTAAGGGAAAGAGAAACCCTGGAAGAAGGCTCATAATCATCAAGGCCCCGGCGGCCTGCACGGTGCAGTAATTGCAATCAGGAAGGCCATAATAGATTAAAATGCCCCCTCAGATAGCAATGAATTTAATAGATTTGGCATGCTTTAATATGGAGTGGATTAAACAGAGGTATCAAGTACGGAATATGGAGTTGCTCGCCGCCGCCGACCGGGCAGCTCGGTGTCCGATTACGTTAGGACTTGTTAGGACAAAAGAGGATTCGATTCGATATTTCAAATTAGACCCATTTCTGCTCCTTCATGATTTTATCATTTAGCCAATACAGCTACATATTACTTCTGGATAAGGCACGTGTAGGTAAGGCCTATTGTACTGTTCAAGCTCAATTCAAAGCCACTATTTCGCGGTTGGACTGCCATCTTCAAAAGGTGTAATTCTACACATACTGGGATTCATGATCACTGCATAGACCTAATCTAATATTAACCTATCAGAGAAGACTGAACCGGAGCTAGAGTATTGATATAATCTCACATACATACTAGATTTTCTAGACAGGTTGAAGGTGTTCCTTTTCTACCACCTCTTTTCTCAGTGCCTGCCACTGCGCTATCTACAAACCCTCGTCCTCACAACAACCTTTCACAAGGTTTCAAAGCTATTCCCATACTTAGGACAGCCCTTTTTATCGAGCGCAGCCAACCCTATTTGTAAACATAATAAGACAGATCGTCACCGCTGGTCTCGCGATTGGTAAGACCGTTGCCCATGAACCTAAACCGGTTCGGCCCATCGTACTTAATTTGGAAGTCCTCCGTCCTGAAACTTTCTAGGATCTCTCTGTAATGAAGGATGCTTCCGGCATACATGGCCGTCACTTTCCCGTCCGACTTCCCGTTCTTATACCAGGATCGACAACCACCCGCCCAAACAGTGGTCTGGAGAAACTCCTGCGAGTATGTATTATAGTCATCTGCAGCATCGTTTCTAACCACCATCGACCTAGGAATGTGTTAATCTTCAAGACTCGTCGGGCTAAAAATGTGCAGGAGAGGGTAGGAGGCATACTTGATATGTTCGGTTGCAATCTTCTTGCACCACCTCAATATCCATTGTGCTGTTGAGTCCATGGCAGCCAAGAGACTACCATGTCCCACTGGGCAATTAGGACCGTTGAACATGAAATAGTTCGGCATGTTAGGGGCGCAGATGCCAAAGTACGCCTCGGGGCTCTCGCGCCATTGATCGGCCAGGCGGATCCCATCCTTCCCGGCAAGTTCCCAGGACGGTGAAAAGCTGACGTCAAAGCCAGTAGCACAGACAATGATGTCGAACTCCTCGGTGCACTTGGCAGTCCGAATTCCAGTTTCAGTAACTTCCTCAATCGGGTCGAACTCAGTCGAGACGTTCGGCTTTCGAAGGGCCTCCAGATACCCTTCGCCCGGGGTAATACGCCGACACCCGACCTGCCAGGATGGAATAAGTCTCGCGCATAGGGAGGGATCATGATTGAGGCGCTCCTCCATATTCTTTTTGAACTCCTGGTAGGCACATGCCTGCTGAGGGCTGTCCCGGAGAAAGGTACGGAACTGCTGGTTGAAGACGTGCTCAATATTCTTTCTCAGCTGCAACAGATCCTCGGGATTCTCCCGGAAGTTCTTCTTCTGGTCTGCGGTATACTGAAAGTTCTCACCGCCTGGAGTCAATTCCGCAGCGAAGTTGGCTGAGATCCAGGTAGGGCTGCGGACGTAGGTTGCGATCCTGCCCGCAGTCGGTTGCATCTTTGGAAGAATCTGAATGGCTGACGACCCATTACCGATGATTGCAACGCGCTTCCCCGTCCAATCTAGCGTCGTGTCCCATGATGCACTATGCAGAAGCTTTCCTCGGAAAGATTGAAGCCCTTGGATTTCAGGCCAACGCCATTTGTTGAGGATGCCCGAGCCGTTGACAAGGACGTCTGCCTCGTCCTCTTTGATGATTCCGTCGCTTTCGACTCTGATTATCCACTTTCCCCTAATGTCGTCCCATATTGTCGAAGTCACCCGTGAATTGAAGCACACACACTCGTCGAGGTTGTACTTCGTTGTGGTTCTTTTGATGTATTCCCAGATCTCGGGTCCTGAGGCATAGAACGATGACCAGTCCGGATTAGGCTCGAATGGGAACGTGTAAATGTGTGCTGGGACCTATCAGGACATAGTTAGCCTCATTTCTGTCGTCAGCTGTTTATCGTCAGGTCCTCTTGTCACATACATCGCACGCCACTCCAGGGTACCGGTTCTCAAACCATGTGCCACCAACGTCCGCATTTTTCTCATATATTGTCAGGTCGATAGATTCATCCATGTCATGCTGGTGCTTCCATTTGTATGCCATCATCAATCCGGAATAGCCCGCTCCAATGCAGACTACCCTCAGTTTTCTCGGCTTATAAAGGGGCTGCTCCAAGATCGGTACCCAGTTAGGATAGTGGTTCTCCGTATGAAGTCCAGTGGCCTTGTTGGGTGCTTTGTTGCTAATGAACTCATTCATGTTTGTCGATCTAGGTCTCTTGACAAAAGTCTAGGAAAAGAAAAGGTGGTTTGAGTAGTAAGAAAACGATGGTATCCTGATGTGTTATTCTGTCCCCAGCCAGCAGAGACGAGCAATTTATATGTACGAGCTGCTTGAGCTTCTTTTCCCCCCCTGCAGTATCGAAAGCGAGCTTCGGTAGCCACCGATCCTTTTCATCCCGACAAGAGAATGGCAGTTTATCTGTATCCTGATTGGGCCGGCATGGTCAAGTCCAATTAGAGTTCGGCCTGTCGGCCTGCCTTGGAATCAGCACTAGATCCCCCTACTGTGTGTTTACCCTTGCGCGTTGACTGACGAGCCAGAATTGGTAAACAGTATTGTTGCTGTGGCACTCGTCCATTGCGAACTGGGCGGTGCCGTCAACCAAGTCCTGAATCAAGACTCGGAGTCGGTTGCTGCAGAGCAGATAGGTTCTAGTGGTCTCGGAACATAAAGGGGGCAACCCGAGACAAAGTGGTAAGTATTGTTGTCTTTGGAATTTACCAGCGCATAATCGAGGCGAGCATCGAGAGCAATTATACGTCGGGAAGGTCTTTCGGAACTGCCGATATCTGTGGACACCCCCGAAGAAGCGTCGGCAGCCAGGCCAGGTTCCGGTGGAGGATCCTCGCGCACTGCACGTCTGTCTTTGTCATGCCCGTTTATTAGTTAACCGACCACGTTAGTAACATCATTCGTGTATTCCTCTGCTCGGCATCTAGAAAGAAAGTTGGAAATCCAAACATCCCCGCAATTCTCCTCCACTTCCCCCCACATTTGCTCGGTCCTGTCGGAAACGAGAACACCGCAGCAACATGGGCTGCGCACGTCTATTTTCCATCAGTTTTTCCTCCCATAACTTCCGTTGATATACCAACGATGCCTACAAAGAGGTCCCATAAGACCGTCCGGAGACGTTGCATCCGAGCCTGCACGACTTGCAAGAGGCGCAAGGAACGGTGCGATGGTCGCCAACCGTGCCGACGTTGTGTGGAACGAGGCGTCGATTTCGACTGTAGAGTCTCCCATCCTCCTTTAAGAGAAACATTATCTCCGACCCCGGAGCCCGACATCCGTGCGTATCCCCATGGAGCAGAGGGAAATCAGTGTGTGCCGCAGGAGCGGAATGGACCGCGACATCTTCGCACCACATCAGCCCATATCTTCCCCCAATCGTCAAGGTTGGCAAAGGACGAACGCGGGAAATACATGTTTATTGGGGATGCAGCGAATCTGACTTTCCTTCAAAATGTCCGTCGTATAGCCCATGTCGCCCTAGGGCGTTGTGCTTTCGTTGACGATCCACTGCGTCACCACATACTGGAAACCTATGACGATGGACACGAGCGACTGATTGTCGAAAGTGCCATAAATCCGCCATCAAAACCAACTTCGGAGGATGCCAACTATCTCATCCATTGGTACATCCTTGCGACAAACTGTGTGCTGGACGCCGTCGACCAACACGAGCTATTTCAAGGCATGTCAAAATGGCTTCTCTGCTCCCACGAGGAACCTTGTGAGACAAGTGCGATATATTATCTTGTCTTGGCCCTCGGGGCTCAATCATGCCCGGAAAGTAGAGACTCCGATGCCGAGAAGTATTTCAACTTTGGTCGATATATCACTTTGATGACGCTTATGGAAGATCCCAGCCTAGTCATGATCCAATCTCACGTGCATGTCGCAATGTACCTATTAGCAGGATCGCGTAGAAATTCGGCCTTTATGTATCTCGGGACTGCTGTCAGGGCTGCTTACGCCCTGGGCCTCCACAGACTAGATATTTCAGCACTCTATCCCACATCCGAGTGTTTGATACGTGAACGGCTCTGGAAAGCTATTCGGATTCTGGATCTGTTTATGAGTGCCTCCCTTGGCCGACCACCTTCCACTACGGAAACCCGTGACACAACGGTGAAGGAGAACTACTCGGCATCAAACGATCTCTGCCTTATCTTTGAAAACATCCTGGCAGAAATATATGCAAAGCGCATGGTCTCTTCAGAGACCTTGGAGTGGATAAGCGGACTACATCGTGGATGGACTTCACGGTTCATGGAATGTCCCAGAGAGGTCGGCACGCAATGTGCCGAACGGATAGTGACCGAAAGGGGAGAAGCCCCAAATATCGGGCTCATCCACTTAAAGGAGGCATACTACTGGACCATTATGCTGCTCTCGCGGCCCACCTTGGTCGAGAAGGTGTCTTTGTACGCGTCGGCGGCGGCCGAGTCGGATTGCTCAGGCATGGAACAGCTGACATCGTCGGCATCAAACGACATCCTCGCGTCCGCATGCGTCGATTCCGCGGCCCGCACCATTGAACTTCTCGCGGCCTTTATCATGAGCACGCACGTCCCAAAAAGGCTCCCGTTCGTTGTCAATTCGGCGTTTATGTCAGCTCTGGTGTTGGGACTTGCCATCTTTGGCGACATGGATCGTGTCCTCCCGCTACGCTGCAGCCTCAGCAATGCACGAGTAATACTTGCGAAGTTCTCCCCTCATGACTCCGTGGCAAGGAGATACCTCACTATCGTGGACAACTTTCAAAATGCCTGTGACAAGTACGTGGAAGTCCGGACACGTCGCGATATGGATTACCAAAGCCGCTTGATTGGGGGGCTTTTCGGGAGCATACATATCGAGGCGCCTGACGCTGGAGGTTGCAGTTCTAATAATACGTCTGCGCGGAACCAAAATATGACCTCTACTGGGCCTTTTACTCCCTTAATCAACGGTTCTGTCTTGAGTGCTGAGCGCCCCGTTGAGACTCCAATAGCCGACGACAGTAACAGTTTGCCGGACAATAGCTTATTATTTCAAGTACCAGATTTTATGAATCACCTTGATCTGAATAACACGAATAGACATGGTTCGATGGATAACATCCTTTTACCTTTTGATTCTTATGATGTGATTTAGCTTCTGATCCCGACTGTTGATGCGAGCTTTCTAGAACAAGGAGTGTTCTGAGGGATCATATGCCAACCGAGAAGAAATAGTTCTACGCCTAGGTTGTTTTAAATCGACCAAGGGATCGTTCGCGGCAGATCACAGGGCCCACATATCCTGGTACAACATCCTACAGCCCCGAGTTAGAATTGCATTGTTCAGCACAATTTCCGGTTTCATCCAAATAACCAGGCGGCATACGAAAAACCGGACGACTTGGGCTGAAAGGAGCATTTCTACGACAAGGCAAGGAAGCACCCCCCAAAAGACAGGAACTCGAGTACGATATTGCTACGACCCAAGGACGTCCGACGTGGGTACCGTTTTTATGGTAAACGATACAATATACGTTCTATCTGGTCAGCCTTCAGTTCCCAATTCATTTCAAGCATGGGCGAAGACAGAACCAGATTATGGTGGTACCTAGATTGTCAATTATATAGTGCTTAGCCATCCGGAAAACTCTTCCTCTTCCGGATTCGCTCCTTATTCTCATCTTGTTAGATGGATAGATAGACCTCAATATAACGCTCGTTGCTATCATCTCCGTCTAGCCTCTTTAGGCATATTCCCATACGCTGACCCACCAGCGTCAACAAGCCCTTTTCGGCCGCCTGCTAACCGTCACATCGTTATATAAAGTAAAAGAGTCAAACTTCTATAAAATCTTAGTAACAATGACGGTTCTTTAATTAGAAAAGAGCTACTACTCGGACAGTTTATAGTAAGACAATCCCTTTATTGGTCATTCTATGTACAAATTCTCTGGTTTCAGTCTTGTTCTCCTTCGATCAACTCATTGGTTGTTTCTTATCTCGCTTATGGCGAAGAACCAGTAGTGCTTCCAGTGTTGGGAGCCAATATTAGCAGTGGTGGTTGGGAGATGGTAAATAAGCGGCGGCAAGGCTTCTTGACAGCCACATGCATGGTCTCCTTCCCGCGTCGTGGATCTGAAGCATTCTTACAATCTTCGGGCGTGATGCTCTCAGTTAGTGGGTAATTTTCTGCCTGTTGTTTTGATTGTGCTAGCTTTAAATATGCTTGCCAACTTTCAAGCAGACGCTTACCACTTCTTCAGCATGGGGGATCCAAGCAATGTCGGGGTGAGAGTTGTATGTAAAATATCATCCCTGCCCATTCCAACCTTTACTCTTTTTGAAAAATAAGACATATGCTCGACATTCGCAACCGGTATCAAGCCCATCCAGGTAAAGGTTATGAGCTGGCTCACTTGCTGTCCTCCATCTAATACCTTTGCTTTTTGTACCTAATCTTAGCCTGGCAGCTGAATTTCTATACTGCATTAATTGAATGTCTAGACACAGTTGCTCATGTCTATATTATTATTATTTAATCAAGTTTATTGTCCATATCTAGCCCTGTTCATGTCTATATAGTTCTATGGTTTATTTAATATAAGACTCTATTCTAATAAATTTTGTCGATGGCGGTCAATCAATGAAACGCGATAAATGAGAAAATGAGCTATATTGAGCTATGTAGGCAATTCGGGAAGCGAGCGCTCTACTGCCAGCTGGCTGTCCAACTAGCTTTTAAGCAGGAAAAAGGTGAAAAAGGAGCGGATATCTGAAAAGGAGAAATTTTCCAGGTGACTCGGCAATAAATAGCCGAATATAAAGAACCTAGGTTCTATCCCAAACAAAAATCGATACCCAATTTAGCTCCGAAATCCCAGCTTCTCCCATTTAGCCAACACTTTATTCTTCACCTCTTCCAGGAACGAACTCTCAAAATCAGCAGCTTCCCAGTTCTTTCCGGTGGTGTACTCGATAGGCATTAATGCATCCGATACCACTCTTCCCCCCTGACTCGGGGATCCATTGCCCTGGCCCATGTACGGGATTAAGAGGAATTCACGGACATCCTCTTTGATGATTGCCTTGACGATCGGGAGGCTCGTCTCGCCGAAGAAGAGCTTCGGAGCCAAGCCAAAGATGGCGAGATAACCCTCTTGCGTTGGGAGGTGGAAGAAATCAGACAGCAGCTCACTGAAGCAGCGAAGCTAAGTCTGAGCGTGATGCTTTTGGCAATCAGGTCGCTCGTCTTGTGATGAATGCTTCAATGGATGGTGGTCAGAACTCCCCGATGCCACCTGCCCGCAAGTCAGCCAAAATCCCCGACCCCCCGACGTTGACTGATGGAAAAGTACTTCGCTTTGAGGACTGGTTGTTGCTGATGAACCAGAACTTGGCTGCAAATGCGGACCACTTCGACACGCCTCAGCTCCGAATGGCATATGTTGCAAGCCGATGTGAATGTAAAGCCCATAAACACATCACTCCTCGCATGCGAGACGATGTGTTGAACCCGTACATCGATTCGAAGGATATGCTCGACCACCTGAAGACGATCTATAGCGACCTGAACCGTGTCGCCACTGTAAAGCATCAGTTCCGACAGCTCTACATAAAGATTGGTGACAAGTTTCACGACTCTCTGTCTGAGTTCCTGTACCTTGCTACTGAAGCGGTGTCGCGGAAGATGATTGGAAGGATGAACTCTACACCAAGTTGATAACCAGGCTTCAGGAGCTGTGCATCTCTGGCAGCATCAAGGATGGAACATTTCACGACTTCTCCAGTGCTGTGTCCCAGACTGCCAGCCGCTTGAAGGTCATCAACCACCGTAATCAGAAGAATCGGACTCTCAACTTTGCCTCAACCAGCGAAGATACGACCAAGGGAACCAATCGAGCGAGTGCAACCATCAAGAAAAAACCGTCTTCTCCTCCAAGCATCAGTCCGGTGGAATCTCGTACCGAAATCAACCGAGAGCGACTGATGAGGGAAGGGAAGTGCTTCCACTGCCAAGAACGTGGTCATCTTGCACGGGACTGTCCCACTAAATCAGCGCTCTCTAAGTTGAAGAACCTGGAGCAGAAAGCGGGTCCGGAGGGTGAGAACGACAGAGGTCAAGAGGCGGGAAAAGTCTAACCCAGGAGAAAGTCTCCGACCTGGGCTTGAAAAGTGTCGACCTTGGCGAGTTAGAATTTAGCCAACTGATCGGAGGACAAAGATTTAATGTAAATAGTCAGATAGCTTACAATGGAATCAGCATCCCCCTAACTACCTCAATCGACACTAGAGCAAATAGTTACCTTTTTATGGACACCAAGCGAGCGATAGAACTAGCGAAATTTTTCGAGATTCCCAACCGACGACTTGAAAGCCAGTGGGCACGAAAGGGTATGATAGACGCGCGGGAGCAGCAATCACCCATGCCATCATATGCCATCTGCTCATCGGTGGATGACGCTTCCTGAATCAACCCTTTCTGGTCACGGATTTGGGACAATATGACCTAATCATCGGAAGAAAATGGTTCGCAAGCCAGGATATTTGGTTGGATGTGAAGAATCGGAAGCTCGTCTGGCCAGAGCAGAGGAGCCTCATGGATCGTATCTAGAGCAAACAGTACACCGAAGCGCCAAAGCAAATCCTGTAGCGGTCTAAGCCGGATCCCATCCACCAAGTTGACATAGAGCGAAGAGACCAGCGGCTTGAGAAGAAAGTCCGAAGGGAGTGCTATCGAGTTCCTCGGAAGGAAGAAACAGACCGACGGCTGAATGTGGCCAAGATAAAGTACGTCCTGGTGAATGAAGAGAAACCACAAGCGAATGCCCACAGTCTACCAACCAATCAAACACGGCAAAGAAAGACGACATCCCAACAGGCGATTCAGATAGACATCGCGGGAATTGGAGCCGCACCTTTTCAACGTCATGTGAAGGAGAAAGATACTGAGGTCTTCATCACCATCCTGTCCGAGATTGACCGGATCATTGAAGAGAAGCGTGCTGACCACCGACGGAAAGAAGAGCACCACGAGCAGGGGTTGATTCAATAGCGACTATCCGAGCAGTACCAGGACTATGCAGACGTTTTCTCTAAAGCAGCCTCTGACGAGCTAAACCCCCGGACGAACGAATGATCATAAGATTGAGCTAGAAGAAGGGAAGGCTGCCGAGTCAACGGAGGGTTACAGCCCCTTGTATAAACAGACTTTAGAAGAGTTAGAGGCCGCTCGAGACTATATTGTGGACAACCTCAGTAAAGGGTTCATCGAGCCCAGCGCCGCTCCATTTGCCTCTCCCATCTTGATGGCATGGAAGCCTGGAGGTGGATTACGATTTTGTGTTGACTACCGGAAGTTGAATGCCATCACGAGGAAGGACCGGTATCCCATCCCCTTGGTAGATGAGCTAATGGAGAGAATTAGTGGTGCGAAAATCTTCACGAAGCTGGATATCCGGCAGGTGTTCCATCGAATTCGACTCAGCCCGGGACCTGAAGATTTCACGACCTTCCCAACATGGTACGGGACATACAAGTACCATGTGGTTCCCTTTGGACTCACCAACGGACCCGCCGCATTCCAACGCTTTGTCAATGATGCCCTCATGGGCTACTTGGACGATTTCGTCACTGCGTTTGTGGACGACCTGCTTATTATTCAAAAAAAAAAAATGCAACCGAGCATGAGATACATGTCAAAAAGGTACTGGAATGATTACGTGCGGCTGGACTCCAAGCCAGTATCAAGAAGTGCGAGTTCCACGTCACGAGGACGAAATATCTGGGCTTTATTTGACAACAGATGGCATTGAGGTCGACCCAGAGAAGACTGCAGTGATCCGCAACTGGGCAGTGCCAACTACTGTTCGGGGCAAACAGTCATTCCTGGGATTTTGCAACTCTTATCAACGATTTATCAAGGACTACAGCTGAATAGCGAGGTCGCTGAACAGACTGACGAAGAAGGATGTCCCCTTTACTTGGACAGAAGAGTGTCATCAGGCATTCGACGCACTGAAGAGACGTCTCACCAATGCTCCCATCCTGCGGCACTATCAACCAGACCTCGAGACGAAGCTAGAAGCCGACGTATCAGATAGAGTGGTAGCTGGGGTACTATCGCAGAAGCATGGAGACCTCTGACATCCGGTGGCTTACTACTCTAAGAGCATGTCCGATGCGGAACGCAACTATGAGATCCATGACAGGGAGATGTTGGCCATCATTTGTGCCTTGCAAGAACGGTGCGCTGAGCTAGAAGGACTACAACTACGAAACCGCTTCAGCATCTATACCGACAATCGTGCATTGGAGTACTTCATGACAACCCAAAAATTGAACGCCCGACAAGCCCGCTGGGCTGAATTCCTTTCTCGCTTCTACTTCCTAATTCGCTATCGACCAGGTCGGGAAAACACTCTGGCAGATGCTCTCAGTCGACCAATCACCGAAGTGCAGCGAAAGGATGAATATCGGCAGCAAACCCTGATGAAGCCTGAACCTGTTGAAAGGCCCACACAAAGCGAATCTGTCATCAGCGCTCTAAAACCGACAGTACGCGTGGTTGATCGTATACTCAGTGAGAACCGGAGCTCCGTCACAGCAGAGGATTATCGTGGGAAATCTCGAGAGGGATTAGAGGACTGGACACTACAGGATGGTCTACTGCTGAAAGGGGATAGATTGTTCGTCCCTGATGATGATCCGGAACTACGCACACGGCTTCTTGATGAAGTGCATGGACAGGTGTCAACGGCCCACCCCGGAAGGAATATGACCCAACGGCTCATCCAAGCACGATACTATTGGCCGGCATGGAGACAGGACGTTGAAAGGTACGTTAGGAACTGCACCAAGTGTCGAAGAGCTGAGAACCCCCGTGACCGGAACCCTGGTCTACTTCAACCCCTTCCCATCGCCGAACGGCCATGGCAGCACATTTCCATGGACTTCCGTTCATTCCCACATAAATAGAAGGGATATGATGCCGCCCTGGTGATTGTGGACCGATTCAGCAAGCGTCCCATCAGTATTCCCTGCCATAAGACCGCTACCTCACGTATGTTTACTGAACATGTCTATCGTTACTGAGGACTCCCAACCACTATAGTCTCTGACCGGGGTTCCCAGTTCATATCTGCTTTTTGGAAGGAGCTATGCCAGATTCTTGGTGTACAACTGAAGCTCTCAACGGCTAATCATGCTCAAACGGATGGACAGACAGAGATTGTGAACCAGCATATCATCAACCGACTACGGCCATTCATCGATCGACACCAGGATAATTGGTCGAAACTCTTGCCATTGATTGACTTTGCAGCCGCAACTCTCCCTTCAAAGTCAACGGACGCCTCATCTTTCCTCATTGACTGCGGGTACGAGCCCCGAGTCTCATTCGACTGGACGCCAATGGAGAGATCACTGCCTCGTGATGAGCAAATTAGTCGTCAGCAATCCCGGGATACTGCCAAGAAGATGGAGCATGTGTGGACCACTGTGTCGGAGCAGATACAGAGAACTCAGGAAAAACAGAGGGAAAAAGCAGATCGCCGGAGACGCCCCGTTGACTTTTGATGTGGGTGATAAAGTGTGGCTCCCCCTCCGTCACTACCGCACGGATCGTCCGAACAAGAAGTTGGACAGCCAGATGGCTGGACCCTTCTCTATCAGGGAGAAAGTTGGCAACTCGTACCGGCGACGCCAGGACATGTACCTTAAAAGGCCACGACGTTTTGTGGCCTTTCCGGCGTCACCCCGAGTTACTCCGTAGTATTGACAGCTATTCTCATAACTGTCAAAGCCAACATGTGACCAAAACATGACCAACGCCGGCTGAAGGCCACATTAGCACCAGCGCCGCCGGTTCCTGATCAGCTCCGATCTGCAGCACTGCCGACACGGACAGCCCGATCTCTTCGTTCACAAAGGAAGGCGTCTTGAATACGACGGAGTACTCCGTTTCCCACAGACCCAAAGCCAACAAACCAACACCAACATTACTCCGTACACAACAACCCATCAGTTTCAGAATTTCCAACGGAGGACCCGAAGCGACTCCATCCCAACAACTTAACCCCCCAGCGAGCGAGCGTTGTTAACCGCCGACTCCACCAGCAACAATCACAATCACAGGCAGCCGCTTTTGCTTTCGCTTCGCGCTGCGCTGCTTCACTGCATTTTCCCCTCTGGCGAATGAATCGCCATTTCCGCCCTGTCGCATTGTTTGCCCATCGTGGCCGTGTCAACTTAGTGGACTGACTCGTTTTCCAATCACCGCCCAAATTCGCCCTGTCGGGTTTACCCTGGGCTTTAGTGGCGGATCAGAAAATTGAAAAAAGCGGGGATCCACAGCTCGGCTCCAGTGTCTGGTCAGTCAGTTAGGACTCGAATTGCGCAAAGTACGGAGACGCCGCGCAGGATGCTTTTACTATGTACTCTGTATGTGTGTTCCGTACAAGGTACGGAGACATAAGACAAACGCAAAAAACGGCGCCCGTGAACAGACCCCGATTTGGCCCTGCGGATAGCGTTCCCCGGAACACGGTGGATCGGGGGGTTTCTGTGCAATCGGGGCTTTTGTTTGGGAAGTCAAGAATGGTAGGAATGGCTCGGATCGAACCTTCTCGCCCTCCATAAAGATATCAGGTTAAACGGACGGCAGAATGAAGGATGGGTTTGGATCTGAGCGCTTTCGGCCGGGTTTTGACAAATTTTGATATACGAAGTACGGAGTACGGGAGATACGGGATTGTCAAGGGATTTTAGGATGATCGTATTCGTCCTAGTGGAAAAAGCATCTACTCGGACCGTCTAGACAACTGCGAGGAAGATGAAGATTCAGGGAGTCCACAAAGAAATTTTCAAGATCCTTTTTTACGGTTCCGGGAATCATGTCCGATGCTGTGCAGAGTATATGATGCCCCGAAGTGACTGAAGAAGCTGTCACTGCCAAATAGTTGGCCAGCACAGCTAGACGTCTCGAGTCAGATGTGATGCTTTTTCTCCATGGGTTCACGGAGCTATGATAGGAAATGAATGCGATGAAGAACCTGTCCGTGCACGTGATCGGTCATCACGTGGGATGCGATATTTGGATGGCCATTACTCCGTGCGGAGTATTCAATTGAAGAGAACAAGAATAGCAGAATGACAAATATCAGATACTAGTACTATGGACAAGAAAAAGAGAAGGGACATACATGGACAAAGACCCGGCATTGGTGTCCGGATCCCCGATGTCGCTGGCATTCGACTCAAGACCCGACAAAGTACGGAATCTGACCGGCAAAAAGGACAAGGAAGACCAAAAAAGAAAAGTACATTTCTTTTTCTTGCAGACTATTTTTTGACTTTTCTTTTCCTGCTGCGGTTCTGGGCGAATGAGGGGGCTCATCACGGCGCTTTCTTTTTCAAAACCCGGCGATCGCACCGGAGTCAATTCAATCAGAGCAATCAAATCCCTTAGGAGACTCCCTTTCTCTGTCTTTTTTCTTCAAAATGGAGACAATCCTGAGCCTAATCGGACGTGACAGGAGGCGATGTTCTGCTTTTTTCCCCACGCGTTGTCCTTCAAAAGAAGCGCCTCGTGCTGTTGCCCGTGCTCTCGTGCTCTCGTGCTCTCTTGCTCTCTTTCTCTCTTGTTTTACTTGCTTACTTACTAGGCAACTGTCACTCTTTTCTTTCCTTTACTTTCTCTTTCTCTCGTTTTTACTTGTACGCGAGTCAACGTCGTTTGATTCTTTTTATATACTCTTGACGTGTTTGCGGATCGCCACAGTCACTGCCACAGCGTGTGGCGGAGTGGGTGCATACTAACCAACCCTCGTTGTCTTTATACGTCGTAGACCCTTTGGTCAGCTTGGGTTTGTTAAAGTTGGAGCTCACTATCTTTTGAGATATCGGGTTATTTAAAACCGTTTGAAAATCATTGATTGTGTCCACCGTTTGCCATACTATACCCTGTTATACCCCACAAGACACCCGTTGAAACCTCCCGGACCTCTCGTTATGATCGCCATCTGATATGGTATATGGACCTGAAATGACCCAAGAGTGTAAGTGGCAACTGTCACTCGTGATCCACAGAATGCGACACTGATCAAAAAGCAGAACCGTGATGAACACAAGACGGAATGATTCCAGATTCTGACCATCTTACACCCATTGGCACTTCTTTTCTTTCCGAATTGGAGCCTGGGATAAACCACACACTCGGACTGTCATGTTGTACAAGTCTGATGGCGGCCGGTTCAGGCCGCGGTATCTCATGTCTCAAACCCGAAACACATCTTCAGTGACAGATTCGACAAAGAAATCCGATGTCTCGCCTATTTCACCATCTTCCAGGTCGCAGGCGACAGCAAGACAGACTCAGGCAGATCATTCATCGAAAACGAAAAGGTCATCGCTTCTTTCCAATGCCGAAGAAGCCCGTCCAAACGTAGCATCCAGGCAAAGCAGGAGCGATGTCCGGCTATCACTGCTACCACGGCCAGCTGCCCAAAATCAGACCTCTAATGGCTCCCAGACTGCAAACCGGACTACGCAGTTAACCGTCAAGTTCGAGAAGCAGACGCCAGATGAAGATCAGCCGCGAAACATGCTCCGCAGAAAGGCCCCGACAATCGGGCAACCTAAGAAACCAAACGGCCAAGGGCCAGAGAAGCTACGCGTCGTTATCCCGAATAGCTCTCGCCCGGGTCAATTCATGAATGCGACTCCGCGTCTATCGGCTCAGGGAGATATGGCCAAGAACAGTCCTTCCTCGTCCATTCAGCAGAGTCATACCGTGAACAAAGATGCTGAGCCAGCGATTCAAGGCCCCAAAGAGCTGGCAAGTCTCAGGACAACGATTGACACACAGAATTTGCTTCCGCCTACGTTTGCATTGCATTCCGCGAGTAGTCTTTCCACAAAGTGCTCCGAGTCGCCGGGGATATGGAGTAGGGGCTCAACCCCAACTACTACGATATCCTCTTGTTCTCCGGGGGTCTTCTACTCCCCTAAGATCGGCCATTCGAGACATTTTAGTCCTTCCGAGACCAGACTTCCCGTATACTCACCGTTGACACAGATCTCCAGTCCGCTGAGCGAGTCGGACCGAAAATCGATTAGATCTCCCAGTTTGGACAAAGCAACGGCTTCGCTGGCTTCGCTTGTCAATTCGGAACAGGAGGAACCGCCAAGAAGCACGGATTCTCCAAGGTCGCATTTATCTCCCAAAAGTGCTCTGCCTCGAAGAACATCGGTTTATTCCAGTTTGCCGACACGAATGAAGGCGAATACCCCTCCTTCCGCACACAAGGACCAACAAGAATCCGAGAAAAACGTTGCGGAAACTTTGGGATCACCAACGGTACCGAACAAACTGAAGAATTCTGGGTCTGCGCCCTCCCGACCAACCAGAGACGGAACCGATCAATTAGAGTTGGAGCCATCGCCTGTGATCCGAAGCGATTTGCCTCCAAAAATAGTATCTAACCATAAGCGGCGGGAATCTGTGGAAAAGAACTCTACTTCAAAATCCTCAACACATTCTGCTACAGCCTCAACCGATTCGCTTAATACAAGAAGACAATCCCGAATCCCATCGCAGTCGACATCGCAGGCGATGTCGCAGAAGCCTCCACGAACATCATCGAAGGAACGATCGGAGAAACAAGATACGAAGAGCCCGACTACTCCATCATCCGCAACTACTAGGCGATTCGGTCTTTTCCCCAAGAAACCGAAACCGGAGAGCGACGCACAAGCCTCGGCGCAATACCGTCTACCTCGAAAAGGCCCGGCCGCGCGAACAGGCCACGAAGGGTATGGGAGATATGCCCAACGGGATCGGAGAATGAGCACTAGTAGCAACAGCAGTGCTACCAGAACGAGATCCACAAGCACCACTGAAAACACCCCCAAGCCTACCTCAAGTCGCAAGGAGAGCCTCAAGAACAGACCGGACCTGGAGATTGACGACTTTCTGCGGAATCGCTTGGAACCGGTTGTTATCAGTGGTGGTGGTGGTGGTGGTGGTATGGATGGAAGACCGTCATTGTTGCGGACACAGAGTGAACAGAGTGCTATGAGTGGTTGCAGTACGATATCTCCGTCGAATACCGCGCAAAACGTGCAGGGTGCATATTCAACTGCGTGCTCGACTGATTCTCTGGCTACTTTGTCAGCAACTGCGGGCGATCCGAGCATGAAACCGAGGACAAATTCCGAAGGTGGAGGCCAATCTGGTGCCCCAATTTCCAGACTAGGAGGCGCATTCCATCGTGCTGTAGCATCGCAACCGTCTTTCTCTCGAACTTCCAGCCAAGCTCGTTCAGAAAAACCACCGAACGCTCCACAGGAGAAGGGCAGAAAGAAGAGTTTCAGAAGTTTCTTCCAAAGGAGCCATTCCAAACCGCGCAAAAACTCGACTACTACTGAAGCACCTCCATCTTCCGCAGCTCAACTCCCCGCACAGGTCACTCCGGTATCAATCAACCGACCTGTTGCGCATTATGCTCTCCTCGATACCGACCCGGACTCTCTGGAAGATGTCATGCACGACATCGAGGACTCTCCACCAACAGACTACGATTATTCAGAACCCAGTCCACCGGTAGAAGTCCCGGATGCTCTGAAAATACGGAAATCGACGTTGTTACCCTCGCCTCCGAGATTGCAGACTGAACTTAATGCTGGTTGGCAGTCTCCGCCGAAGGTGTATATGAACAAAGGTCCTGCGCCGTGCAAACCTGGACCTAAGGAGAAACCAGTGGCCAGGCGCCCAAGTCGACTGGCATCTATTGGACGCATTCCGCAGGTGATTTCGAGAAAAGACAGACAGCATATACCAGCGGCGCAGTCGTTCTCGAGACCTTTCAGTATGGCTGAGGCGCCTTCTCTGGCAGCGCCTGTGTTGAGCAATGGCTTCCAGGTGCCAACATGCTCCGAGGAGATGGGAAGACGGCCTAGCGAACCAACTAGACTGGGTTTCGACCTTACCCAACCGTTTGGCGGCCCTACGTACGGGGACGTTCTGGATCTTATTTCTGGGCCCTACTCCAATAACGAGTTCCTTCGGTTTTCTCCTGACAAAAACTCGCCGCCGTCGTCGTTTGAATCTACTCCCGCAGTCACTGCTCCGGCTCCCCAACCTGGCAGTGATCTGACCGACGACGAAGTCTGGAAGGAATACGACGACCTTATCGACGATGTTCTGTCGCCGATCAGCCCGAAAACGACTCTGCCCGATTTTGCCACCTCCGATGCCGAGGAGAAGCTTGGACTTGCGGCTTTGGCTAACCAGACGCTGCAGAATGAGCTGGATGCTCCTCGTCTTTCGACTCTTTTTGAGCAACCGTCGATTACTTTAAACCGAGCGTCTCAATCCAGTGATGGTGGCTCCGTGCGGCTGCGCCGTTCTAGGATTGCTGCTGCATTGCGTTCTTCGTATACTCCCTCGTCTCAGCCGTCATACAGTGATTTGAATGCTGCACAAGAGGGAGCAGCAGAAAGCGAAAAGGACCGTCCGTCATCGCCTTTCTTCAAGCCCGTGGAAGAGCAGCAGAGCTTTCCCCTCTCCCCGCTAAATCCCTCTCAGAGCTTCGAAGCATGTCGACAACGTAACACCATCCTATTCGACATCGCAGAACGTGATCGTGAAGGCCCAACCGCGCAAACCAACATCCGCTCCGGTTCCCTCATGACAAGCCGCTGGCTATCCTTTGGACGAGTCCTGTTCAGCCCGGCTCACAACCACGTCAAGTCCGGTGAACAAGAGCGCATCCTTGTGATTGATGGATTAGGCAACGATGACTGGTCGTTCTACTGCGCGCTGACATATGCTAATGCCGATGTGTACAATCTCCACGTTGGTCCGACTCCGGCCGCGTCCTCGCATCCAGCTGCCTGGCAACCGCCTACGAACCACCATACCGTTTACCATGCGGATCTTGCAGACCGGTTCCCGTTTCCGATGGGCCACTTCGCAGCGACTGTTCTGCGGCTTCCGGCGGCTTGCTCGGAGAGTGTTCAAGATAATGTCGTTTCGGAATGCAAACGTGTGCTGCGGGCCGGTGGCTATATGGAAATGAGCATAATGGACCTCGACATGGTGAACATGGGCATTCGCACCAGAAAGGCCGTCCGCGGTCTCAAAGAGCGCACATACGTCGCCGATCCTAGCATCAGCCTCAAGCCAACTAGTGACAGCATCCAACGCCTACTCGGCCGCCACGCCTTCGACAACCTCCACCGATGCATGGTGCGCATCCCGGTAGCGGGAGTCATCACCCGCTCCTCCGCCTCGTCATCCTCTACCTCTTCCTCCTCCCTACACCCATCGATGTCCATCCCCGCCGCCACCCGCTCAGCCCCCTCCTTCGGACAGAGTCCTAATAACCCTTACACCACCAAACACAACAAACACGGCAAATCCCATTCCAACGACACCGACCTCTCCCTAGGCGACCTCCTATCCGACCCCGTCCCCTCCCCATCAAATGACGAATCCATTCGCAAAATCGTCGCCAAGGTCGGTCGCTGGTGGTACACACGGTGCTACGAGATCCCTGTCCTCCCGGATGGAGATGTTGATCTGCGGATTTGGAATGATAGGAAGGTGTTGAGGGAGTGTCAGAAGAAGGGGACGGGATTTCGGTTGTTGATTGCGCATGCGCAGAAGCCGAGTGAGGTTAACCGCAGGACAGCTAGCGTTTAGCTTGGTTTCTTTTTGGATCTTGGTTTTTATTTGGCATTTCCTGTTTCTGGGCTTCTTCTTTTGGTTGTTTTTCTCATGAGAAAGGGTTATGATTATGATGATGAGATATGGTTGGTTTTTTGAGATTTTTTTTTTCATTCTGTGAACGACCTGGTGTCGTTATTTGTTTTGATATCATGATTCTGGCCATAAATTATACTTAATAAAGGATACCATTTATACAATTATATCGGATTTATATTTACTCCTCAACTCCATCTTGTCCCACTCAATCAGTCCAGGGATCTCGTATGCTTCTAGTGCAGGGTTGTCTTCGAGTTCAGTCAACGACACTTTGGCCAAGTTCCTCGAGTCAAGTGCTGTTTGTGAGAGATCGAACAGGGATGCGGTTGATCCGCAGTATCCGCGTCCGTTTCACTTGCTGGTTCGTCCGGGGTAGGTTTGGGAACCCTTGGACGGCCAGAACGCTTTCCATCCTCGACGTACTCAGTCAAGATCCGATTATCAACATCTGGATTAAAACCACGGTCTCTCGCCTTTTTTTTTTTTTTTTTTTTTTTTTTTTTTTTCTCCCAGCGTCTGATTGTCTTGTGGCTCATGCCAGTGATGGTCTCGATTTCTTTGATATCAATACCGTATGAAAATAAGCTTAGAGCCTGGACGCGAACACCAACTGGGTGGTAGGATCCCTTCATCTTGCTGTGAGAAGAGAGCTAATAAATGCGATGGCTTCGATTTTTCGGGAGTTATTGGTGTTTATAGCGGAGGACGCTTCATGGTGGACACCACACGCAGCACTACTACCCAATCTGAACTGATTCCAACTACTTTCCAATATAATAGAACATTTTGATAGAGTCCCGTATGCTATTTGGAACAATTGTCTAACTAGTTAACTAACGTAATTCCCGAGCCAGTCGGCCACCTGCGTTTACCATATTAATCGGCACTTTTTATAACCTCAAAATCTCAACAACGAAGCATTTAGACGGTCCAAGTTTTAAGTTATACAGTATTATGGTACTATAGTTCTATATACTAAGCACAGAGCTTTCTAGAATAGGCACTTCTCAATGTAATATAAATTACAGCAGTATTTTTCGTATTTTTGGATAATCTAACATTTAGAACCAAAGAAAATATACAAAATGTTTAAAAATTGATATATTGCTTCTTACTGTCCATATATATACTACATACCTAGTATTACCCTCCTATATTCGTTGTTGGTGTATATATTTGAGCCTTGAAAAGTGCCGATTAATATGGTATACGCAGGTGGCCGACTGGCTCGGGAATTACGTTAGAGCGACGACTCGATGAGTAAGCAGTGCCACGGTTATCACGTGATATGAATATATCACGTGGGTCCCGCCGGTTTTTGCGCGCGACGTTCGACCACGGCATCCAAAGCATCCAAATCAACGCTCGATATTCCATCGCCGGTGAATCGCACCCTTGACTATTTTCCGAGTCGCCGTCCGTCGCGGTACCATATCCGAATGTAGCCCTGCTAACCCTGCTCGGGATTGCTTGTTTCTGTCTATCTCATCGTTGAGAATCTCCTAGCTGTCCATCATGTCTGACGGTAAGTCCCACCTTTCGTCCTCCGTCTATCCAATGTCCCCGATACATAGCTAATCACTCCTATAGCTGATTTCGAAGCCGTTCGGAAGCTCCAAGCTGAGCGGAACGCTGCAGCAGCTGGAAGTAAAGGTTCAAGGACCTTTGATCCGTCTAGCCAGCGCACTGACAACTCGACCAAGGCCTCCCTGAGTGAATCCTTCGACACGACGCTATACGATCGCGAAGGCGCCGACAGATATGCGGGATATAACACTTCGATTGCCATCGATGGCGATGACGAGGAAATGGAGGATGCTGACGCTGGTCACCGTTTGGTCGGACAATATACCGCTACCAAGGATCAGGTTGATGAAATGGCACATGGAAATGGAGTTGAAGAGGAGGATATACTTCTTGGGCGCGAGAAAGCGGCCAGGATTGCGGACCGAGAGACGGACTACCAGAAGCGCCGGTTCAACCGCGGACCTTTGACGCCTACGAGAGCCGATCCCTTCGCCGCCAACACTCATGCGAATGTTGAAGGAGACGGCCAGACTTATCGTGAAGTCATGGCTCTGCGTGAGCTTGAAAAAGAAGAAGAGCGTATCCAGAAGCTGATCGCAGAGAAGCAGGCCAATGGCGAAGACGGCGTCACAGAACACGAGGCTACCCTGACACTCGAGGATAAGGAAAATGCCGAAGCGGGCTCCACAGTCTCTGTCGCGTCTGGCCGTAAGCGCAAGCAACGATGGGATGTCACCACTGAGCCTACCGAATCTGAGCCTCAGGCTGCTCAACCCGAAGAAGAGGCCAAGCCGAAGAGATCACGCTGGGACCAGACGCCTGCCCCTGTTGCTCCAGGCGAGGAAGGTGCCAAGCGTCGGTCTAGGTGGGACCAAGCACCTGCACTTGGGGCAGCGACTCCTGTTGGTAACCAGGGTCTTGCAACCCCCATGCATCCTTCTCAAGCAGGTATGCCTTTGATGCCAACTAGCTTTGGAACTGATATCTCTGGTCGCAATGCTCCCTTATCGGACGAAGAGCTGGACTTGATGCTCCCATCCGAGGGCTATCAGATCCTCGAGCCTCCGCCGGGATACGCCCCCATTCGAACTCCTGCTCGCAAACTCATGGCTACTCCGGCTCCTGTCCCTGCCGCGGGCGGAGGGTTTATGATGCAAGAGCCCGAAAGTGCCCGTTCCCTTGGCAAGCAGCTGCCAACCGACATCCCTGGCGTTGGCGATCTCCAGTTCTTCAAGCCTGAGGATATGGCATACTTTGGCAAGCTGATGGAAGGAGGCGAAGAGAACACCATGTCCGTGGAGGAAATGAAAGAAAGGAAGATCATGAGATTGCTCTTGAAGGTCAAGAACGGCACACCACCGATGAGAAAGACTGCCCTGCGTCAATTGACAGACAATGCGCGGCAATTCGGTGCTGGTGCCTTGTTCAACCAGATTCTGCCATTACTCATGGAGAAATCGCTGGAGGATCAGGAGCGCCATTTGCTGGTCAAGGTCATTGACCGTGTGCTTTACAAGCTCGATGATCTCGTTCGCCCCTACGTTCACAAGATTCTCGTCGTTATTGAACCTTTGCTTATTGACCAAGACTACTATGCTCGTGTGGAAGGTCGGGAAATTATCTCCAACCTGGCCAAGGCAGCTGGTCTTGCTACCATGATCAGTACGATGCGTCCTGATATCGACCATGTCGATGAGTATGTCCGAAACACGACAGCTCGAGCGTTCGCCGTCGTCGCCTCCGCCCTTGGTATTCCAGCTCTTCTCCCATTCCTTCGGGCCGTGTGCCGCAGTAAGAAGTCCTGGCAAGCCAGACACACTGGTGTTAAGATCGTCCAACAGATTCCTATTCTCATGGGTTGCGCTATTCTGCCTCACCTTAAGGGTCTGGTGGACTGCATTTCTGACAATCTAAGCGATGAGCAGGCCAAGGTTCGGACTGTTACAGCGTTGGCTGTGGCTGCGTTGGCCGAAGCCGCGAACCCGTACGGTATTGAGAGTTTCGATGAAATCCTCAACCCTCTTTGGACGGGAGCGCGGAAACAGCGTGGCAAGGGTCTTGCTGCATTCCTCAAGGCTGTTGGATACATCATTCCTCTGATGGATGAAGAATATGCCAACTACTATACTAGCCAGATTATGGAGATCCTGCTTCGAGAATTCTCGTCTCCAGATGAAGAAATGAAGAAGGTCGTCTTGAAGGTTGTGTCGCAATGCGCGAGCACTGACGGTGTAACAGCCGGCTACCTGAAGGAACACGTCTTGACCGACTTCTTCAAGAGCTTCTGGGTGAGGAGAATGGCGTTGGACCGGAGGAACTACCGCCAGGTGGTTGACACCACCGTCGATCTGGGACAAAAGGTCGGCGTTGGTGAGATTCTGGAGCGGATTGTGAACAACCTGAAGGATGAGAGTGAACCGTACCGCAAGATGACCGTGGAAACCACGGAGAAGCTGGTAGCGTCCCTTGGTGCGGCAGATATCTCGGAACGGTTGGAAGAACGACTGATCGACGGTGTCCTCTACGCCTTCCAAGAACAAAGTATCGAAGATATTGTGATTCTCAACGGTTTCGGTACAGTTGTGAACGCGCTCGGCACCCGGTGCAAGCCTTATCTCCCACAGATCGTCAGTACTATTTTGTGGAGACTGAACAACAAGTCCGCTACTGTTCGTCAACAAGCGGCAGACCTCATTTCGCGCATTGCGATGGTTATGAGGCAGTGTGGAGAGGATCAGCTCATGGGTAAACTGGGTATTGTGCTCTACGAATATCTGGGTGAAGAATATCCCGAGGTTCTTGGTTCCATCCTTGGTGCTCTTCGATCCATTGTCACCGTCGTCGGTATCAACCAGATGCAACCACCGATCCGTGACCTGCTGCCTCGTCTGACCCCCATTCTCCGTAACCGACACGAGAAGGTGCAAGAAAACACCATTGATCTCGTCGGTCGTATTGCCGACCGTGGTCCGGAAGCCGTCAACGCCCGTGAATGGATGCGTATCTGTTTCGAGCTGCTGGACATGTTGAAGGCCCACAAGAAGGGCATCCGTCGTGCAGCTAACAACACATTCGGTTTCATCGCCAAGGCCATCGGTCCTCAAGATGTCCTCGCGACACTACTCAACAACCTGCGTGTGCAAGAACGTCAGTCGCGTGTATGTACCGCCGTCGCCATCGGTATCGTCGCCGAAACCTGTGCCCCCTTCACCGTCCTCCCAGCGCTCATGAACGAATACCGCGTCCCCGAACTAAACGTCCAAAACGGTGTCCTGAAAGCCATGTCCTTCCTCTTTGAATACATCGGCGAAATGGCCAAAGACTACGTCTACGCCGTCACCCCGCTCATCGAAGACGCCCTCATCGACCGTGACCAAGTCCACCGTCAAACGGCCGCCAGCGTCGTCAAGCACATCGCTCTGGGCGTTGTCGGTCTCGGCTGCGAAGACGCAATGGTCCACCTCCTCAACCTTGTCTTCCCTAACATCTTCGAAACGAGTCCCCACGTCATCGACCGGGTTATCGAGGCCATCGACGCTATCCGCATGGCTGTTG